TGTTTGGGTGAGTTTTCAAAAGATCTGGTAGCTCTGCAGTGTACGCCAGAAAAAGGAGGGGTGACAAGTACGACTCCTTATGGTACCCCACTATCACATGCCAATCTTCTAGAGAACGCATTTCCCACGCGTACTGTCATGCCTCTACCTTGTAGGTATGATGTGAACCAGGAGAGTAACTGTGGGCAGATTCCGTAATTTTCAAGCTTCAAAAGTAACTTAGAGTGATTAACCCTGTCGAACGCTTTAGAGAGGTCGAAAAATATTATATACACCGATTTTCCATGATTTAAGGCACTAATCCAATCAAAAACTGCATCGCAAAGTAAAGCAGTGGTAGATCCTGATGGAACGAAACCATGTTGAGCGGATGGGATAATACTGTTTTTGTCATGAAATTCAAACAGCTTCTCTTTGATAACCTTTTCAAGGATTTTGCCAGACGGTGGTGTAATACTGATAGGACGAAAGTTGGAGACAACACTGACTTGTTCGCGCTTTGGTATGGCTGTTACTAATGCTTCCTTCCAGATTCTAGGCACTTGCCCCAGTTGTAAGGAAGCGTTGTAAATAAGTGACAAAGGAAAAGCGAGAGCACCAGCGCTTTTTTGGTATAATATCTGCGGTATGCCGTCATATGTAGCAGTGGTTGTTGCTTTGAGTTTTTTCAAAAATTCATAAACTTCCCTAGGCTCAATAAAAATTTCTGCGCAGTGTGTTGTGTTTGAGGTAGTGTTTTGTGATGTTCGTACAACGCTAACCTCACCATCATTCATGAAGAAGCTACTGAAAAATTTGCTAGGGCGTTCGCTTTTTCTCTGTCACTTAGTAACGCGTTGCCATGTTCGTCAGTTAAGCACGTGAGTTTTTGTTGTCCCTTGACTTTGCATCCAAAATATCTGAACAATTCTCTGGAATTTTGCTCGGATAGTCGTCGTTCACGATTGTCTAAGCATTTCTTGATGTGATGAGTAATGTCCCTGCAAACTTTTTTATAAAGTTGATTTCTAAAAGGATCCGAAAACTGGAGAAAAAGTCGGCTTTTTTGCTCAATTAGGTTGCGGTTATGTACAGGATAAGTTTTGAGTGGGACAGGTTCAAAACGAAATGGCACTTTGCCAGGAAGGATATGATAAATAACTCTACAAAAACGGTGGTATAAATCATCGGTAGATTCAAACTGTTCAAAAACACTGTACCAATCAACGTTCAGGAGAGCATTACTAATCGCGGAGAAATCAGCTTTACGGTAGTCAGGGTACGGTAAAAATCTATTTTTTGCAAAGTCAAAACTAGCTTTGAAACTTATTACGTTATGATCAGAAGATCCGAACGGAGGTAGGGATTTTACGTTACGAACAATGTTGTCGGACGAAAATATCAAGTCATTTGCTGATTTACCCCTGGTTGGTACAGTGACATTTTGGTGAAGTGCACAATCTTTGATAGAATTCAGAAGCGCATTGGATTGGATAGTAGAGGTTACAGAATCAACATTGAAATCTCCTAACAGGATAGTCGTAAATGGACAAGAGCATAGATTATGTATGACGTCAGCCAATTTTTTGTCGTCATTTGAGGTTGAAGAAGGTGGGCGGTAAAGAAGAACGAGCCGGAGTGAAGAGAGAGAAGAGCTGGACCAGATATTCAAGCAGAGAATATCCCATATGTGCCTACTCGTAAGCTGCACTCTTTCTACTGCTAGATCGTCTCTGACCAGGCAACAAACACCCCCTCCTCTACGAGAAATGCGATCGGAACGATAGATACTATAAGGAAGATCGGAAAGTATTTCAGGATCACAAATTTTGTCGGACAACCAGGTTTCAGTTATGCATAAAATGTGTGGGGAGTGTAGAGTAACAAAAGCATGCAGAAGAAAAATTTTGTTCTTCAAACTACGCGCGTTGAAGAGAAAACAAGAGAGAGCGGAGGGTGCAGGCCGGCTTACGCGTTTCCCTGCATGTGTCTAGGGAGCTCAGAAGCCCGGCGGAGCTCCCCTCTATACACCACCCACTCCTTCGTGGCTTTCCCCCTGTTCCTTTCCCTGGCCTCCTGCCTGAGTTCGAACTCTTGGGCCCGCTTGGCGGCGGACATGCTCCTGCGGATGAAGATGTGGCGTAGACCAGGTAAACTCCGCAGTCGGTGCGAACTAGATAGGGCCTGGGCCCAAAAGGAGCGCGCTGGAAACACCACTTTAACAAGCCGTGGAATGCTTCCGTCTCCCCTGCCCATACGGTATATTTCCGTGGGCCAGCAGTCTACTCCTAAAGCGTCCAGCACCTTAGCCACCCCGGACTCTAGTTCCACCTTACGTTCAAGCAAAGTTTTACCTGGCTCCGATTCTTCCAGTCCTGCTAGAACAATGCTGCGGCTGCGCTTCTCAGCCTCATATCCTCAGGCAACTTGGCTTTGAGAGCGATGAGCATCCTTTCAATGCAAGGATCCGTATTCCTTTCCATTATCGAATTGATCAGATCACTTGCAGATAGAGAGCTGAAATCTTCCCCGTTACCCTCATTGGAGATATTCTCTGCTGGAATTTGTGTGGCAGAAAAAGAAGATTTTTTCTTATTGATACGTGAAGGCAACTGTTGGGAATTTGACCTAGTAGATCTTGCAGGCATAATCCAATTTTATCGATTGATTCTGGCGGCAAGAAAAAAGAGGGAGGGAAAAAACAAAAAGTAAGAGGATGACAATAGATTTAAAGAGATATTTCCAGTCGTAAAAGTTTCAGACAGGTACTAAATAGATATTTGAGCAGAAATGAGTGTAGAAGGAGGTATGAGAATGGTAATTTTGAAAGAGAGAGAAAGAGAAATGATGACAACAGCCGCCCGGGATGACGACCTCAGATACGTGATAGATATATAAATAAGGACGTAAATAAGAATGGACGATAAGGCGAGATACATGACTTATAGGGCATTTAAAAAATCGTGACGATGGCGCGACCGCGCGCGACACGCACGCACCTCCCGGAAATCGCTTTTCTTGGTTTTCATCTCCAATTGAATGGTTCTTTTGTTTACGTATGATTATATCTGGACAATGGAAGTGACTGAGCTAAACGTGAGGTGATGCCTTCTCGTATGAGCGTTTTATGCTTCTGTGGGTACAAAGTGCGCAGCAAAAACCATCGTCACGATTTTATAAATGAACTATAGCTAGCAGAGAGCGCCTTATATAGCGCTCAGATCCCGCGCATAGGTCAATACAACACCGATAGATCAGATCACTAGACAACAACAATACAAACAATAACAAATATAATGTTACTCTCCAACACAAAGCATTGAGAAATTCTTCATATTACACCTCTGTATCATTTATCTAATTTTTCTCGACAAATTTCATGAAAGATCGTTGAAAACTTGAAGAATACACATCGTTTTGAAGTAGGAGAACATCCATAACTGTTGTATACTAAAAACAACATAGCTTTTTTCTCAAAATCAACTTTACAGCAACAAAGCAGTTGCCTCAGAACTTGTCAAAAAGTCCTCTACGTTAGGTCGTCGTCAAATTGAAAAATGTGCCATTAATACGAAAAGGGGCCTCACCCACCATGGCTACTGAATTCTTTTGCGCTATTTTGTCACAATATTTGGCTTTGGTCTAGGCTAGGCAAATGTAATAAACGGATATTTCTTGAGTGACGAAATTTTCGGCAACGAACACATGATCTACGTTTCGCTTGAAGATCATATTTATAAGTGAAAACTGTTTTACTTCTCACAGAAAAAGTAACAAAGTCAAACATTTCACAACGTATCCTATAGCCCCACTTGCCATTCAAGGACTGTCAATTATAAGAACTGCCCAAACGTACAAAAATCTATTTTCTTGCCCAACCAAAATACCCCACGTCCGCTACAGACCGATGTCTGTCTGAAAGAAAGTGCCATACGTGCCGCTTAAAACTGTATTCAAGGATAAAACTTGCACTTTTTACCAAACTACAAAAACTACTTTTTACCACTTTTTACCTTTTGCAAGATCATACATAAATTTAGCAATGTTGTTACGCAGTTTGGCGTCATTTCAAGCAAATAGGAGCACAGTATATTCGACTAACACATTCTGGGATAAACAAATAACATACCCGAACACTGGCGACTCGATCTCAAAGTCATTGCAACAACACTCAGAATTGAATTTCGAAATGCGACCGTGACCCTTTTACGAAAACATGCTTCGGTCACTCGTCATGAAATTTGACTGTACTCCAAAACGCAGGCCACTATTGGCAGCAATCCAAGGGCAAAGATCAGTATATTTCATCACGATTTCTCTGTCTGTTGTATGCTCATTTGCCGTGTTCTACGGATCTGGGGAAGCCAAGTGGTAAACAATAAATCGTTATATGTTATGTAGTGATTATGATGCCACTCACAAGGGAAGGCACCTAACTTAACGGCACACATATAATCGAGATCAGCTTCGAAAGCTGATTCCAAATTTGTTGTTTCTGGCTGCGAAGCATTATACTGAGATAACGAGCTCTTCACTACGCGCCGTCTGCACTACTGAGCACTGGAAGTTAGCCTACAAATAGAAATTTGCTTTGAAAAGGTGCTGGAATATTGAAATAACATCAAGTCAAGCCTTTTGATGCTGATAGGGAGCATTTATGCATGTGCACTACCTCTGGATTTTGATGCCGTAATCTCTGCAAGTCGATTAGCATTCAAATTTTTCACAGGAAAAAGCCCATAACTCTGTTCAGGATAACGCTTCGCATCTAGTGACAATTTATTTGGATTCAACGTTTCAAGCTGATTCCAAGTTTAGGCATCGTTTTTAAAAAGCCGACCTAGTTTAGGTGACTTTCCACGTCAGTAGGCTTATCGCAAGCGTAAATAGCGCACCGCAATGAGTAGAGGATATTGAGTTTTTAGATTTTGGCAGTTAAGCGTGGGTATAATAGCTTTTTCTAATCCGTTTATACAAGAGTCACCAAGTGCATCAATGAATATACCCAAGAGAATTTTCACCTGTTCTCCATGGACGTTTCTCAGAGAATATTTGTTCCCTATCTCGACACCACTAGCCAGTTCAAGGATCTCGATGAGCTGAAGACGTAACCACATTGGACAAAGCTACCTTTCCTGACTTGCTCCGCACTTGCTACAGATGCTAACATAATTCAAGTGAAAAATCAGTTAAGGCAGCGATGAAAAGGAAGCATGTTCCGCCGTCAATGTTGGAAACTTTCTGTTGTTATTTTCTTTTGCTATTTATAAATGCATTTAAACGGAGATTCTGCCTCCTCCACCATACCAAGGCTCGAAAATATCGCCAGGGATAACTGCCATAGGTTTTTTGCGATAGGTCAAACCGAGCAATCAAACTCGCTTAGATATGTAGCAATCCTCAATAAAACAGTAAACCTTACTTGATGGATTACTATTTCGTCGATCATAGTCAGATATTCTAACCCAGGAGGAACACCTTCTATAGGAGGCGGCAGCGGCAGCTGCTCTGAACGTTTTAGGAGTTTGAATACGCAAGATAGATTGCTTGAGCAATGGAAAGTAGAAATAATTCAGCGCAAGCAGAGGCAGCGCCACTGCGAAAGCTGTCCACGTTTCTCAGATCAAAACGCTTTCATTTCTCCAGCAGTTTGCTGTCTCTTCCAAACACGTACTGTCTTAATCGGACGCAACGGCGTTTAATCTCTGCGTGCGATGTATTGCTTACACGTTTCCATATAACAAAGAGAGCAAGATCTTTTCGAATTATTGAAGTTGACCTGGACGCACGGGTGCTCCTGGTGGTGGAGGTGGGAGTTGTTTTTTCTGAGCATTTTCAGCGGATCGTTGTATGGGTTCATTAGACTGTCGCATTTGCTCAGCAGATGGTTGTGAAGGCTGCTCAGACGGTTCCCACATCTGCGTGCACTTAAGGTGTGCTGGAACACCACAACTTATCAAACATACGAATGCTTGAAACAACCTTTCCCAAAAAGGTCAGCTATAAAATGAGATGTAAGATGCAGTGCAGATTATTTGCATCCTAAGAGATATGCGAGATAACTAGCCTCTCAGAAATTCGTGCAAAAGCGGCCAGTAATGATTGTGTACTCAGACATTCGCTGACTCCTGCAGGGCAGAAGAGATGACTCCTCAACGACCGGGCGACTAATTTTGTTTCCAGACAAAAGTGCATGACAAAACCAGCTATCTCGACTGACGCTTTCTGGTCAAAATCGAGTTGTCCTGCGGAAAAATTATAATGTCTCAATCGCGTCGCTAGCACGCTTCTCAGGGTTATATCATCCATTTCCTTTGTGTCCCCTCTCTCCCTCTGGAATATTTTTTCCTTCACTTGTACCCTTGGTCTCCTCTCTAAAGTCTGCCTTTCTTGCACACGTAAACACTCTCAGTCATGAGATTTACCTAAAAAAATCAGACATGAGCTCTTTGGGTACTCAGACAATCGCAAAAGAAGCTCCGGAGCAAAGTGAGCTTTTAGAGTTTCCGGATCGGACGCTGCTATTGGTCCGTGTAGCAAAGGCTACACGGCTCATGCTACACGGACCAATAGCAGAATCCGCTCCGGAAGGTCTAAAAGCTCAGTCTGCTCCGGAGCTTCTTTGCGATTGTCTGAGTAGGCTTTACAAGCAAATCGATGCACAGAAAAAGCAGCAAATCTTCAGCTTGAGCTCTAAGTGTGCATATTATACAAGAACACAAGCAACTATCCAGCAAAAACTGCAAATGAGATAACAATATGATCAAGCGTTTGCTTTTCAGACAATTTCAGCTTGACTCAGTCTCCTCGATTACTTCCTTGATGGTGTCGCTATCTGCGGTTAAGGTACGATTTTTCTTCAAATTAAAATTATCTAAATTAGCGACCATAACGCCATACATGCAAAAAAAATCAACTTTGACGAAAGAAGGACAGCTCTCTCGGGATCGAAGAAATAAGCGAATATCAGCGCTGAATTTCACAGTCTAGAAGTGTCGCTTTGTTTTGACATTGTTTGAGGAACTCACAGTGCTCTCTGTATTGTTGTACTTGCGGAGGTTCAAACGCTTCCTTGCCTCAAAAACTGCTTGAAATCTCGCGCGCTTCGTTATTGTCCGCCAAGGATATCACATGTGCCTCGTGAGAGAGAAGAAAGAAAAATCAAAAAACACCAAAAATTACCATGACTCTCTACCATCTTTAGAGAAAATTGGGACTTGCAGAGCGCGTGCTTAGTGAATCAAAGCCATCAGAAAAAAAATTCTCAAAGGGAAAGTATGCTAGCTAAGCTGTTGCGTTTTAGGTTTGCGCTCTATGACGGTTATCTAACCCTCTTTTCTACTTTTCTTTGGCTAGTTCTAGCGAGACATGCTCCTGAAAGCTCTGAATTTCGCGATTTCATATATGGTTGTAGAAGATGCTAGAATGCCGGCAGCAAGCCCAAAAGTCTGTGAGCTTTTCATACACAAAAGATTGCATATATCACAGTAGCAGATATGATTGCAGTAATGCGGTCATTAGTGCATGCGAGATCAAAGTAACCCAACAGTCATTCATAAACTACTGCTATGTCGGAATATGTCATTTTTAAGGCCAGCTGGCGACCCGGGGGGTGGTGCAAGAGGAACCAAAGGGCTGCCGCTTGTATCCGCAGGAGATAATTAAGAGCGCGAGCGCTGTGGAGAATATTTCAAGGATCCAAGAGAATTTGCAAGGATATCTTTTAGGCACACGTGCCTATACCTTTACCTGGAAATGATTTTGACAAATTTAAAAAACAGATTTGTAATGCAGATTGGAAGACGCATTCACTGAGCCTAAAAGTAAGTGAAAATTGGAAATTTGATAAGAACAGTCAACTTCCTTACAAAAATTTTTTGTTTTACGAATTTTGAAGTTTCAAATTGTTGAAGACCGGGATTTTCTTTCAAAATTTATTCTTTTCTTTGATAAATAAATAGTTTGCCTTTTGAAATGAACCGAAGCAATTTAATCGTAAAAGCACATCTGGATTGTGTCAAAATGCAATATGCAGTTGGTCTCATAACTTCAAACCTGTTGTTTTTTTTTGGAATTTTGACAGTAGAGATTTCACAAGATTCGCTTTGAAACTATGACGGTAATCGCTGTACACAATAGCAACAGTTAATTCCAAAAAAAAGTTACAAAGGGTTTGTTTCTAGTAGATGTCCTTGCCAAGTTTTCCCGGATCCTCGCCATCATCTTCTCCACAGCGCTCGCGCTCCTAATCATCTCCTACGGCTGCATGCAGGAGACCTTTGGTCCCTCCTGTACCGCATCCGGCGACCCCCTGGTACATTCTCAAACCTTATACTCTAGAACACAGTTTCAGAATGCCTAGACAAATCTCCAAGTAAAATTTGCACTTTTCCTACAACGCGACAACTCAACTAGCCCGCCCGGGTCACGAAGTTGCTACAGTGGGGAATTTTCGTTGTTTTACTGTTGTTATCTGTTCAGGCGTTACGAAGTCTTGTCAGCAAAAATCTCAGAATTCCAAATCTACCGAGACACTGAAGACTATCGCAGTAATTCAAGGACAATCTTACGCTTAACTACGTATGAATTCTTGAAACTTAAAACAACTACAGTTTTGCACTGCCTACTCTGGTAAAAGTCAACATAATCTGGAAAACCTTATGTTGATAATTGCATTCAATCTTTCCTATCAAATCTGAGTGAAAGAAATTTTACATGAACATTTTCTTGAACAAAAACAAACAATTGTAGCGCATATTTATAGACAGGCCATCCCAAAATAGGGATAGCTCCGAGCATCTGTCATGGAACCGCAAGAAAGCGCATGCTTCAGAATCTCATAGATAAGTCGGCCCATTAGCTTGGATCTTGACTCAAAACTTATGTAGTTTCTCCATAGTACATCACAAGGCTGGAAGGCTGGGACTTCGTATGTCAGTCGAAAGCCCTTGAACAGCTCTTTCCAATGGTGTAGTCTTATTGGCTAAAGCTCAACATACATACTGTAGATTTTTTATCTCGTTAGAATTTTTATCTCGTCCCTGTCCCATCTTGCCACTCAACGTATAGTTTGTTCCCAGCAAGATTCCCATAACCACGTCATCTCGCTGCCTTTCGCACTTTTGAACGTGTTTAACCTCGGGCACTTCCGTTGAAATCTCACGAGAAACGTGTCAAAAAGAGCGAAAGGCAGCGTCGCACCACGTACGCACACTGGCTCACATGAGAACCTCTCTGGGGCGCAGACGGTAGCTAATTCGTCTTCAGCCTTAATGACTGAGGTACATACACTTTACTAAGAAAAGAATTGAGAACAACATTCAACATCTTTTGATTGACGCATTGTTAGCCCCATTTCTTGAAAGTTCATGGAAACTACATAATTTCGAGGTAGAAACTCCAATTGACGGGCTTATCTGGATTTTGCAGTAATGGTACAAAAAAGCACATCAAAAATGGTTTCACATCGTGAGATAAACGTATTCATCTGAGGTTACAGATAATCACATACAAATAATACAACACAATAGCGAGATAACAGTCTAGCTTAAAAGCTAACTAACTCGATTGTCACAGATCTTCATACGAGTTTCTCGCATGTTCAATCTGCTTAACCTTGCGTGAAGATACGTTAGTCTTTTTTCTTCCTTTTCTTTGAGATCTTTCCACCATTTCTCCTGAGCTATCAGCTCATCTCTGGGCTCGGATTTCAAAACTGTTAGACATAATGATTGTTCTCTTTTCTGAAAAAGCAAATATTAGTCAAAATAGTTCTCACTCCTCAGCTAGCAGCCAAACTATACCGCTTCCGTCAATTTTTCTGTTATCCTTGTTCGTTCAGCAATGAGATCTTTCATTAGTTTTTGCTGAAAAAGGCTGAATTATTAACAAATACGGAGATATAAAAGTCCGGTAAGTTGAAAATCGAGAATTTAGCTGAGTAGCTTCCCACTAAAAAATGCTAACTTACATTTTGCAAAGCGCCATTTTTCTCACTGAAAGTACGCATAACTCTGGTTAGCACATAGCGAGGTTTACTAGTAATATTCATATTTTGATCAGCAGACTCTTTCCTACACCGCTCTAGTCCACCAGTGGTCCTGAAACATAAATCATTACGGACACCAATATTTGCAAATACTCTCCAAAAAAATTACCGGTATGCTCGTTGCTCCAGTTGCGAATACCTATTGAGCTTTCGATCCCACTCATCGCTCTCTGCTTTCAAACGTTCGATATACGCTAACAAGTCATCCCTTTTCTTTCGTAATTGTACAATCTAGAAAGGAAATTTTCAGCAAGTCAATAGTCCCACTATGATGACACATACAGGGCTGATCTCTTTCTGTTGCACAATAGAATCCGATAGGGGTGCAACAATCGTAGCAGGTGAAGAACCATCTACAGTGAATTTGATGGATGATCTACGACCTCTACTTGTTCGACGACTAGATTTTTTGGCTATCTGAAAAAACATAGATCATAGCAGAGTAGTAATTTTTGCTGACAAACAGTTTAGTTTTTATTGCTAATAAGTATTTGATCAAATAAAAATCATTTCTGCAGAGTAAAGAGCTAGCTAATCATTAGGAAATCAGATGTATTCACAAAACTTACCCATAGAGGATCTTCAAATATGTAACGCTGAAAGTATTGCTGACAATCATACGGCCGATAGCTCTGATATATTCAAGATTGGGCAAACTTTGCGCTTGGGCATATAACTACACAGTCCGGCACCCCGTACGCGCAAATGGCCGGCATTACGCATAGCTACTTGTTCACGCGCAAATTTTGTCACCCAATCTCGACACTGCAAGGACAACACCTCCTATTTTAATATAGCTGTTAACTGCGACAAGTGCGATAGCTTTCTTATGTAGGATTTCTATTAATCACTGATTCACAAAAAATTGTTAGTTTTGCCTTTTGACGAAGGAACGGACAATAACATTGAGTGTCATTTGACATCATAATAATGTATACTGCATCATAGAAAGAGCTATGGAAGAGGCTTTACAGTTTGGGAATGAACTGAACAGCAGTGAGTGATAAAATTTGATATAGCTGTGCATAGGGGGACGAGTGGCGTAGTGGTGTGTGGCGCCGCTATAACCAGATCGGGTCCAGGTTCGATCCCCGCCCCTGGGCACCAAGCCCCCTACCCTCCGGGGCCGGCAAATTGGTACCAGAGTAATCTGGGAGGATAAAAGCACTGATTTGGAAACGGCTGGCCCCCGCAAGTCACTGTAATAGGCTCGAACGCATACGATTGCCTCTTCGACCATGAAGTTAGTGTGTGCGTTCGGCGCATGCCCTCAGAGGGTATTGAAGACGATGAATCCTTTATCTTTTTATTAGCTGTGCATATAACTGGGAAATGATTCAAAGGTCATGAGTGTTTTTGTAATTCGATAAGAGTGGAACTATTTCACTGAGAATTTGAGGTGGATTTGGTGAGATCCTACACCCAGAATAAATGAACAGAAGACCACAGATCTATTGCAGGTATTGATCAATTCGTTTTTTTACGAAATAAGAATGTAATCTGGAGTTTTCTATGAGAAGCGAAGATATATTAAGAAAAAGAATTGATGCCAAGGTTATCGCTATTCAGTTGTTTCTTGCTACAAAAACTTTAGCTGAGGCATGATCTATCTTAAGAGGTAAACCAAAAAAGTCTATCTTGAAAATGAATAAATGGATTCGGATTGAAATAATATTAGGCAATTTGTTAGATGATTCCACGTATACACTGTGAGGGCAAAAGTGGGTAATCCAAGTGGAGGATATGTGAAAAGGACGGAAACGAGGTACACAAGAGCATATCGGGAAAGAGACCAGAGTAAATTCGACTATGGCATGAATGACAAGACACAAAAACAGAATGCACTTCACTTAGACTTTTGTTTTTTCAGAGCTTCGTACAGATGCATAGGACTTTTAGCATGAAGATCAATGATCTTATGAATCTGCACGATTTGTATTTCAGTGAAAGAGGTTTCTCAAACCAGACAGACTCTGCAATCAGAAGATGTTAAATGTATCGATGAGTAGGTATCTGAGAAGCACTAAAGGGAAGCAATGGCTCGTAACAATTTCTCTTGCCGGAAGAATTCGAGGAGATGAAATTGCATGTTGTATATCTAGCCCGACGAAGAAGAAGGGTCATAATGTACACATTCAATCGAAAAGACAAAAATTTAAAAACTGAATGGGAATGCAAATTTACAGCAACATAACCCCTCAAAAATGTATGACAGGCAAACCAACCGGGGGCAAGGCATCACTTTGAGAAGGCGCAACCTCCATCTCGACATCTTCCGTCTCCATATTTCCCCAAATACTAGAAATTTTTGGCCAGTGGTAAACTGAAACTATAGGCATGCAATTATCAACAGCAAAGTGTACCTACAAAAACAAAAAGGACGCCAAAGCTTCCCCGTCCAATTCAAATTCTGAGACTGCGCGTGCGTCACGGTGTTGGTGCTGTAGCTGCACGGACGTTTTGAGAATGACGTCAAAATGATTTGTTTTTCCACAACTTTCAATGCTTTTCATTTTTGTAGGTCAGCGTATCAAAATTAATGTAGTGAGAAAATACTTTGCAATTATTATACAAATCATGAAAGTTCCCCTATGGAGTGTTTAGATTTCCTCGCTATTGCTTTGCTTTCATCATCATGAATTTTGATTATCTATCTAAATTCGCTTTGACTGTTGCTTCGATAAACTGCAAAATCACTTATCTGCTTGCTGTTAACAAAAAATCAAGATATTATATCCATCACCATTGACCTCTGCTGAACAAGTCTTTAATCCGTACTTTTGTGCCTCTGTTTAGAAGGCACCGATGTGCTATAAAACGGTAGATTTGGGAGCAAAAGATGTTGCTCATGCGGTGCTGATCGCCCACAGCATTCTCTCGTGAAATATGGACATAGAGCGCATAATGCAGCCTTGCGCTCCATGGCTCTTTTTCACGCGCAAATGTTGTCGGCACCGCAGGCGCATTGTTATCCGCAAATCGACTAGAGTATGCGTTGCCACGATGCAACAGTTAAACAAAGGAGTTTCTTTTATCTTTGACTTGGGCCAGATTTGCCTCAAAAAGCGGCGCATATCTTTCGGTCTAGTTCAAATCTGGGGCAAGTTTGGAGAATCAATCAATTCGTGATCTTCATAGTGCCGATATTCGCTTTCGCTTAACATGATAGAAAAACTTTGTAGCCCATCAATACAATGGACCAACTTTTGGACTTGGAAACGCTCAAGAAGCTGACACCTGAGCAACAACAACAAGTGATTGCTGGAGTGAAACAGCAGGCCGCTATTGCTAATGCACAAAATCTCATCACGGTCAGTGTTGCCTTTTCTTTAAATCTATCGTATTGTTATTCATATTTATTCTCAAATTCAGTTGAAGTTTTTATCTGCTCAAAACCAGAGATTCAGACCAAGATCAAGAGCATAGTTGCGATAGGGGGAGTGATGGATCTTACCCCCTTCACTTTGAGGCCAAACTCCCGATGACCCCCTTCACCTGGGCTGAGATTGGTATTGTACTCAGAGAATATGATAAAAATCGTTATTAAAAGGTTTTGCAGGCTAAGTACTTCAGACAACAAGTACACTCATAAATTTACAAAAGAAACGGTTTTCATGTTTATTTATATTATTTATTTATCCTCGTAGAATTCATTTGGAGAGCAGAAAGTGAGGACACAAAATCAGTTAATTTTTGAAGCGCATGAAATCCCTCATATCTCGCGACACAAAAGATCTAGAAAAAAGTCGACGGTCTGCGTCGATTCTCCATGATCTGAGCTTTCGAATGGTATACATCATGTTAGGACTTCTTTGCTTCCCGGCTCTAAAAATCATTTGCTCCGGTAACCGATAAAAGCCAATACATTGGTGGAGCTGGGTGGAGCAAGCTAATAGTAAATATCTCCACCCCATTTTTTAAAACTGGTTAGTTCTTTCGCCCAGCAACCTATATACCATTCGAAAGCTCAGGAAAAGGGGATTCGACCTAGACCGTCGACTTCTTTCTAGCCCCTCTCTGCCGAGAGATACACCGCATTTTATCTGAAAACATGGTCATTTTCAACAGCAGATTTCTGCCAAATGAAGACCTAATCACTGCTGATTATCTATCTATGTTAAAGAGCAAGTCTTCATTAACAAACGTAGACCGTCGACTTTCTCGTTAGAATTCATTTGGAGAGCAGAAAGTGAGGACACAAAATCAGTTAATTTTTGGAGCGCATAAAATCCCTCATATCTCGCGACACAGAAGATCTTCAAAAAAGTCGACGGTCTACGTCGATTCTCCATGATCTCAGCTTTCGAATGGTATACATCATGTTAGGACTTCTTTGCTTCCCGGCTCTAAAAATCATTTGCTCCGGTAACCGATAAAAGCCAATACATTGTAAGAGCGAGGTGGAGCAAGCTAATAGTAAAAAAATGTGCTGTGGATTGACATCGTTATCAGCGCTAACGGGAACGCGAGCGAACGCGTCTATTTAAGCGTGCTTATCGTTATTATATGTTTATGTTTTTTTAAGTGAAAAAATGCGCTTTTTATTGACAGTTGTGCCATCATTATCAGCACATACTCAAAAAAAAAACTATGGGAGATTGGTGAATTTCCACACCTTCAAACAAAAACCCGCCCATTTCTGGAATCTATATTCTGTAAACCTAGTGCTGAAGAAGGTCACTTCCGTGAAAACGCTAGACTCACCTAACTGTGGAGAATGGTTGGTTTCAATGAATCAAAAACTTTGAGGCATTCAGAAGAACAACATGTTATCAAAATATTCTCCAATGTTTTGGAAAGGTGAAGAAGAAGCGGCAGGCAGAATACTTTACAACATCGCAGATGACTCGCATGTGTTCCAGTTCAACAGCGAGGTAGAAGGGAAACCTTAAGCCGACGAAAGTGTTTGTCGACATTGATACAGATTTGACATTTGAGCAAAACTCTCTATTTCGTACATCAGAAATCCAAGCAAATTGCATAGTTTCAATGAGGAAATGTCCAAGAAGTCCATTGCTGATCTTCAGGTTGCAGAAGATTTCAAGGCTGCTAAATTCACAAACATGGATATGAACAAAAGGAAGGTGTTAGTACAAAGCATAGCTACTGCTCTTAGATCCCGACTAAAGTACGAACTTAACTCTGTGCTTTATGCTGCTGGAAGTATCTCGCCTTGTGACAATATGACTTATGATATTGAAAAAAAAAACCAACGCGCAGCATAGTATCTACTTTTTTCGGCTATTCCGCAGATGCTGTTGAAGAGAAAGTTGAGCGGCTTTCGTCAGCTGCCAGAGGAGGTGAAGCCAGAGTTCGACAAGGTCAAAAAAGTATGCAATATTTCCTTCCCGTGTTGCGAAAGCATATGCGATCTGGCTCTTTCCCCATTACTCACCGCAGAAATCTGATGGACTTACTAGCAAAGCTAGTTTCCATTCCGACTAGCACGGCAGAGGTGGAGAGGGGATTTTCTATCTACTCTGTTATCAGAACGCAACGCAGAACTCGTACAACGGTAGAGCATCTAGGCCATTACTTAAGATTTGTCAACCTTCTACTAAACATATTGTTTTCTAAAAACTTCATTTAAAAGATTGCTGTAAGTGGTCCAGACAGGCTGTCATCGTATGACTTTTTGAAATATCCTAAAAGATGATATGAAGAAACTGGTCAGCTACCTGCTGACTTCCTGGTGCTGCCAGAGGGCCAGGAAAAAAAACACAAAAGCTCTTAGAAGGAGAAAAACGTTTCAAATCCATTTTCGACTCAGAACGCTTTTTTGACGCAATTCTACTTCTACACCGATGACCTTTTGACAGAAGAAAGATCTTTCAGGCAGCGAATTTGTTGTCTCTGACGTTAGCGATAGTGATATTGTTGACGATGACGTGCAGGAATTGTAAGTTGTTCCTAACTTGTACATCTTTTGGGATAACTTATTGCTTTCGTTTTTTGTCGATGCAATGAAACAGGAGCACAGATCTTCATAAAGTCAATTTTTTTGATTTATTAGGTTGAACCGAAAGTTTTTTCGCACCAAATTCAAAAATTCATAACTTCTGAATTTTCCAGCCTTTTGGAACGCTCTTATTTTTTTCTGAAAGAGTAAGTCATGCTCTTTATAACGACTTCTTAGATGCTTGCTAATGATCTGTTGCATAGATAGGAGCTGTAGAAGAAAATTAGTCAAAATTCGAATTTTCTGTGTAGGGTCATAAAAAATCGAAAACTTGCAACAAAAATCGGAGCAGTCGGTATTGTAGGTTCTTTCACCAGCTCTTTCTAACAGTGCAAAGTTTGCGCCGATTGAGCGTCTCTATGAAAAGTTACAATTTCTCTGAAAAATACCAAAATAAACCAAAATCATCCTTTTGTATTGCTTGCTCGAAAATCGTAACTTTTCATAGAGACAATCAGCGCAAACTTTGCACAATTAGAAAGAGCTGGTGAAACCTACAATAACTGCTCCGATTTTTGTTAGAAGTTTCCGATTTTTTATGACCCTATATAGAAAATTCAATTTTTGAGCAATTTTCTTCTACCGCTCCTAACTGTGCAGTAGATGATCATTAGTAAGCAATTGATGGTCTTTATAAAGAGCATGACCTACTCTTTCATATTAAAATAAGAGCGGTCCAATCGGTTAGAAAATTCAGAAATTATGAATTTTTGGATTTGGTGCGAAAGAACTTCCGGTTCAACCTAATATTATTTTATTAAAATTCTAGAAATTTTTTTTCAATTTGTATCTAAATAAGGTACAAATTAGAGCACTTCATACCACGCTTTTTTTACCTTTTCTCTCTCCCTCCCCCCCCCCCCTCCCCAGGCTCACGTACCCCCTTCACCTGGAAGGTCGGAAACAGCCGAGACCCCCTTCACCTGGGGAGAGCCCGGCTCCCCCTATCGCACCTATGATCAAGAGCAAATATTGTCTTTCACTATTGAAATCAATTACGATATCTGGGAATGTTTTGAGGTTCCTTTGTACTGAAGGCGCGACTGCATTATTAACTAGCTGGCATACCCGGCTCCAGCCGTCCCTATCGAAATGCTATGATAAAGTTCATCCCTATCATGTATAACCTTTCCCTGTGCCCAATTCTACATCCCAGTCCTCTATCCCCGTTTTGTTTTCGTTATCAGCATGTTCAATTACCTTCCTGTGCCAGCTCCCAGCCCCGTAGGTAATTGCAAAAAAATCGACAAGATCGATAAGGGTAATGAAAATTTTGAAAATTCTTATTTCCTAATCAGTGTGCTCACTTCCCCTTGTGTCATCTCCCAAACCCGTAGCTAGAACTTTGCCAAAAATCAATAAACTCGATCTTAGTCAATAAGAAAAAGCAGCCCACGACACTTGTCCCGCCCCGAAGTGTATGTGGGCCAAGTTTGGTCTATTCAGAAATTAAAATCTCTACTTGAAATACACAGGGCTTATCAAACGCAGTGTCGCTTGCACCAGCATCTCGACTCCCACGCTGGCCTCTGCTATGAATAATTTCTTGGTGCGAAAAAAAGAACGCATAATCTAGGTGAAATCAAATATTGCGGTCTTTTCAACGCTCAGATGGAGCAATGTTGAGTATGAGTGTTTTGGACAGAAGGTATTGTTCAAATGGAGTGGTCTGACAATCAACATTGGGCCATGTGAGCAGTTCTGACGAATTTTATGCTAGTTATGCATTTAAATTTTTTTTAACTCAAGAAAGCGCTCATAATTTGACGTCCAGAAGCGCTCAGCAGATAACGAAGACAGATTTGGAAGCAGCATTCGATGCTCTTTATAGTTGTATCATTTGCATGTGAAAAGGCCACTTTGACCAAAGTGACCTCCCATGTCTGTATAGCAAATTATTTTGTGGTATGCACACCACAAAAATTTCTCCAAAAGCGTTCATCGTTTAAGGAGTTTATGCTCCTTCCTTTCTTGATTTTTGAGCTTTTTTTCTCATTGATGCAACAAAGTCAGAATATCCATCTCCAATTCTCTTGCGTGTACAAGGTTTGCTCTGCCACGGCAAACCACGTTATGATCGTTATTTAACGCATATCCCTATTCCAGTAATATAGACGGCATATGTGGCTCATAAATGTTTGATGGTTCGAGGTATAATTCGTTGAAGCCTTGTACCTTGGTTGTTTTCAATACGCATTTTCTCAAATGCTTCGGGTGGAGGACTGTGTGTCGCCGAATGTGGATGGGTTGCGCAGGCTTTTTGCAATAACGCACCTCCATGCATTGCAAGAGTGCGTATTTGTTGCAAATACGCGGGAGCCGCCCCCTTTCGGCAACATATAGTCCTATATCCCTACTAACTAGAGACCGGCCCTGGTTTGCATTGTTCGGTCATCTACCCTTATGCTCCATCTAGACCATCTGGACTGTTGCATTGCTAAAACGAACTGAATATGATTCTAACATTCGATGAAAATCTCTGAATCGCTTGAAAGAATTGAACCTAGAGAATTTATATTCAATAGCTTTGGTTTCAGGATCTCTCAGAGAAGTGTACACAAAAATGCATCTCACATCCGGGTACTTCGCTTTCAAATTCCGATAAGCAATGTCTGCAACGATGTATGGATCGTTTTATGGACTCTTGGAACTTGGTATCTCAGACGCTGCAAAAGCGTCTACAAGAGGAACTGGCTTCATCTGGCGCATTCCAGTCCGGTCCAACTTTTTCTTAAACTGCCTTTTGTTGTTTTTTTTTTGTTAGTATTTTATAGTTTAGTTGTTATTTTCGAGAACATTTTAGGATCAGGAGACAGCGAAAGCTCTCTTGATTAGAAAAGCTTATAGATAGTTTTGTTTACAAGTATTGTCGAGCAAATGTCGTGGTAGAATTTCGCAAAGTTTAATCTTTGTTGGAAGTTGTCTTATCATTGCTCACATTTTTTTCTTTGGATAAACTAATAACTAGAATTCAAAAACAATCAATTTGTACAAAATTTCGGATTGAAATGTAGTGGACTGGGAAGGTTTGTCCCGTCCACAATGTCTGTGTACGCGTCGCCTCAAAATCTTACAATCCAACTCTGAGTGTATTTTTCTTCACGTAGGGAAGACCGTATCCAGCGAGATTTGGGCAGTGACATAATTAGGAGACTAGAAAGCATGATGATCTAGTTTAATTCAGACTTGCAGCCTTTTGAGATCTGAGTAAAGACGAATTTGCTATCCTAAGAGCCTTCTCAATTGTTTTGCATCTTTTCTATCTTTTATCGTGCCGCGCAATTAGTAGTATAGTCTCTCTCAATTCGGATTAGGCGCATCGCCATGACTTTGCTTTCCGTATACTTGTTTTGGCTTGTCTGCCCACTTTTTAATCATTTGCTCTATCGGCGCACGCATGAGCGCAAACTGTAGCGCTGCGAGCGCGTAAATTCACGCCAACGTTTTGGTCTAATCCCGATTGCGACGGAGTGTAGATTTATCAGTATGGCCGAAGCGGAAGATTGATTCCCTGCATCAGTCTACCACATAATATGATATAAATCTCAGAAAGCATACGCTCGTGCCGTGAGGATATATTTAGTTAGGTATTATATCAGAATATGTATAGCTGACTGCACGGCGCCGCTGAGCGCCCAAGCGTGTCTCCGCTGACTAGCACTGGCATTTGCACGCATGAGTCATCTGTACTCGGCAGCCGCGTTGCGGGCACGCTAGCGAGTTCAACCTACACCGATGTGGGCAATTCCGTGTAGTCGACTTTAGCAATGATATATCGTATTTTGATACGGATACGGCACAGGGCAGATGTTATCAAGTCGAAGACGTAATTTGGATGATCCCTACTAGAATCTAGCTACTCATCTTTCGATGGAGCTATATACAAACAAGAAAAGTTGAATAACGGATAGTTCAAGTGCTTCGCGCAGCACATAAGTGGCAGGGCTGTTACTCCATCGTGTGTAGAATTATGAATTATTGAAGAGAATAACAAGAATATAAGCCTTAGCAATATGTAATAATCTTATATATTGAAGAATCGTAACGCCAATTCAAAAAACATCAGACAGCGGTGCGGTCTGGAAAGCGCGCGGATGCGAATCTAGCACCTTTAATTACTGGTTCACTAGTATACGTGTAAATATATAGATGACTAATACGTGATTCTCATTATCTTAGAAAGAACTAACATTAGCCTAACAGAAACTTTTGAGACCTGATTGTCAAGCTTTTTGGAAACAAAATCGAATTTAGCATTCATAGTACAGATACATACACTCTGAGGTAGAGTTTTAATGTTAATGTTTGATTTTTTAAAAGTTTTTAATGTTTTGATTTTTTCATGTTTTATTGCCTGACTTTTCGGCTTGACGCCGCCTCTAGATTATTCATAATGCGCAAATTCGGACCTTACTGCTGTACATTCTCAGACACTCGCACCGGCTGGCGACCGTCCGACGACGGCCTTCCGGCCGGCGGCCGTTCCCTAAATCTGGGCGGAGCTAAATGCCGGCCGGTGACCGCTCCAAAAAAATCATACCGGCCGGCGGCCGATCAAACGGTCGCCAGCCCTTATATACCTAGGGTCCATGTGCCAAAGTGCGGGAATTGCATGGAATTTTTAAACATTACATGATCGAGCCTCATAGGAAAGGCGCGCTCTACATTCTTTTTATTTATGTAGTTGCAACTTCCTTGTTTCGTTTATGTTTCTGTTTATGTATGTTCATCTGGAGATTATGGGTGCTGCGGTGTCACTGGAAGACGCTCAGAACTTCGCCGCATTATGAGTTGACGCTATCCCATTTCACTGTATTTTTTTCAGAGTCGAAGGAAAAATTAAGGCGTTTGTAGTCCTTACTTTTTAATAATTCACATCGTGCTTGTCTTAAATGTTCAAAAACAGGAGATACCAAGCTGAAACGTGCTGCTTGCGAGGTTTAGAGTCTAGGTTTGCGTTTTTTTATAAGTGAACAAAAAAACCAAAATGGCATGTTTCAGAGACAGGTGCGTTATGCTGTACCAGACCAAAGTGCCGGTTCGCGGCACTTTGGTCTGGTAAGTGGGTGTGGGCAATGTCTAAGGGGTAGTCTTGATTGGATGTTTCATTTTCTTCACATTCTATTGAAAAGCAATTCTATCTGCTATAGTATAGATGAGAACGCTTTATAACAAAAGGACCATGGTTTAAGTCATACCTTCGATAGTCTAGAGACAGGGTGCCAAAAGTGAAGGTTGTTTGAACATCTGACGTCATAAATAATGAAGGTTGTTTAAAGATGATCAGAGAAGAGAAAATGACATAAAACAAATATAAAAAGCAAAAGAAACTGCTGTAAACCGGATAAAAACGCTGCAATAAGGCTTGAGATCTGTCATTTGGCGCTTTTCAGAGTGCAAGGTTTCGCTCCAGGACCAGCAATTCGCAACACGGGGTTTTGATTTTTGATGCGTCCTTTGAATTTCTACCCCCGCATTAACGTTCCTGTTTCCTGGGACGTTGTCTGGATTGTTGCACTCATTGTTCTGAGCAATACTCGCCCAAGTTGGAAAAAAATCGATGCGAAAGCACTGAAACAGAACAAGGTAAAGAAAAACGCACTTTTTACGACTTTTCGCAAAAAATCCTACCATAATCGAAGAGTTAAGGGCTGGGTGGTTGTCTGCATTATGAACAGAAGCACGATCTATAGAATGCACAAAAAACCGCGTGAAAAGAGTTAAACTAGGAGGAAAACAGGAGATTTTCAAAAATAAGGTTTTTGCCGGGATTTCTCGTTCAAATGAAAAAATGTGGCTTTGGGACGTTGTCAGGGTGAATGTAGAGATCGAGAGCTTCAGTTTGATATATAGCTTGCTAAAATTGGGTTTGAAACAACGAAGAAAAGGGCACCAGAGCCAAATGCCCCGCGCCCCGCGTTTGGGGTAGCGAGGTAGCGCGCAGCGCGCGGAGACGCAGACGAGCAGCGGAGACAGACCAGAGCCGACGGGGCATTTGGCTCTGGTAGTAGATCTCCGCAGGTTTCAACGAAACCCTGCAACATTATATATCATTCTGATCGTCATGACACGACGAGGAGAACTGACAATGTCCCATGCCTTGAAAATCACTCATTAACGAGATAGACCAGCGTTTTCGTGCGCGTCTCTGTGCGCAAGATTTAAGCGCAGTTTCTCGTTTTTATTTGACTCAATTAGTTTTCCTAGACTTCTGGAACTCGATTTTGTTCAAATGAGAGGTTAACTGAGAAATTTTGTCCTGAATTCTGGCGAAAATTCCACAGAAACCTTCTTTAACAAAAAAGGCTATGAAAAAGCTAATTTTCGGTTTTGCTGGAATAAGCTAAAGTTTTTATTTCCTATATTTGCTTCATATATGTACATACGTTCTGATATAGTCAGGACAATAAACTTCTGTTTTTTCCCAGGTGAAGGTTGTGTCTTCTCATAGCCCTCAAAGTGAAGGTTACCAGAGTACGTGGCTCTAGGTATCGAGGGTATGGTTTAAGTGAATCAGGGTTTGTAGTTTATCTGACTGCAACATTAATAATTTTCTTGTTTCGGGAAAAAGCTTGTAATTCGTTTCACATAAGTGAATTTCATGTGCTATAGTACGAAACAGTACTCTCTGCTAATGTCTACAACAGTGAGATAACGTGAGCAAAGACACGGAGAAAAGTTTCGATTCTAATGTGGTTTTCTGATATATATATGCACTATAATAGGGTATCAGACATTAGGCAAAAAGCATTCAGTACGAAGATACATGTACAATAATTCCATATGGATTTTTGAAGTGGGGAGAATATTTTGGAAAGCATACCAAAAATTTGGAGCAAGTCAGTTGAGGAATGTCATTACAAAGTGACTTACGTTGAGTAAAGCACAAAGTAACTGGCTTTTGGGAGCGAAAACGAACAGCTTGATAACTCTATTTCTGAACACAGATTATTCATGATAGTGAAATCGGCAGAGATTGCGAAAATTACAGATTTGATTTCGGAAAGATTGAGGAAAATCACAAAACTGGATATGTTTTGTAGCAAAAATCGCAGCTCAATATTTTGTATTTTAGAAGGCGAATGGTAGTGATGAGTAGATACGAAGTCGATCTCTTGGCAAACAAACCCAAAGAGAGAGGCAATCTAGGGTTATATATAATAGTGAAATCGGCTGAGATTGTGAAAACTATGGATTGATTTGATATTGGAATGGGAAATCAAAAACTTGACAATTCGAAAGGTGATAGTCGCTTGAGAAGCACTTTAAACTATAACTGCAACTTTCTGTAGAAGAATTGTATGTCGATTAGGACAAGTGATGTTTTCCAAATATATAAAATAAATAGGGAAATTATGTAACGGTTGAGGATTCGTTTGAAAACCACAAAAGTGGAAATATTTTTTCAAAAAAAAAATTGCAGCTCACTCTTTTGTAGCTTAGAAACAAATGGTAGTGATGAGCAAGATACTAAAATCTAACTTTGTTATCAGATGCCCATTCTTATGGACGATTTTTCAAAATGTGTGATTCTGCTCAAAAAGCATGATTACACAGGCTTTCGTTCATATGATTGAATTGTTTCTTCTTAGAAAATGCTAAATGAGAAAGGAATTGATAGCTGACCTGTTCCGATGACTCGAATAGAGGTGCTGCTGCAATGTGAAAATAGAGACGTCGTATTGTGAAGACAGAATCAATCGATGTTACCGCTTACAGCTTTTAACTTTTTTAGAGATTGCACTTTGAAGGTTAGGGTTTTCATCAACATCGTCTAGATCGGACATCATTGGCATAACGATGAGTCATCAACCCTGTACGCCTGCAGCGGCATGTTACCGCTTACAGCTTTTAACTTTTTGCAGACTGCACTTTTAAGGTTAGGTCATCAACATCGTCTAGATCGGACATCACTGGCATAGTGAGTCATCAACCCTGTACCCTGCAACGGCACGCAACGACAGACCTGTTGACATCTCACGAGGGGGGGGGATGTTACAGAGAGACACCGTGCGCTTTATTATATAGAGAGATGTGTCTGAAATCTTATTCTACTCATGGAACTTGATCATGGTCATCGGGATCTCACTCATGCTAACGACTATGGCCTTTAAACTATCGTTATTCTTTGCGGAATGCGTTCACGGACTATTTTTCCCTGCTGATTATTCTAGAACTCTGCTGCATATCTACGGATGCTGAATATATCTCATGTTCTACGAATTCGCGGTATTCCTATGCCTATCATTGCGTACACTCCAAAAGTTAAGTGAGTTTACACCGATCATTTGACAGAAACTAATCTTGGTGAGTGGTTTATGGGAAACATTCACTGAACGCCTCCTGGAATAGGCCTTTGGGTTGCTCCGTTCACTGATAAATAGCAGTTCCTGAGCAGGTAAGTCTTGGTATCAGTGATCTCATTTGTGAAAAGCTTATCTCGTTTGCAGATGTCCGCTGTGAGATGAGCGTCACCCTAAAGAATATAGAGTGCAACAACTAGTCAACTCGTAATGAGTAGCGGTCTGATGTGTACAGTTTGCCCCAATTTTGAACAGGCCAAAATCGGCATGGCGGGAGTCTGCGTCGCGAGGGTTTCGCGCCACTTCTTCGGCTAGCTAGTCTGCTCTCTCCTCAATCTCTTCGCTCTCTGCGACAGCGCGCGTGTGCAGCGCAAACCCCTAGCGCTGCGAGCGCGCAATTTCAGCCGATAGTTCGGCCTGATCCCGTTTGGGACAGACTATACCTTTTGTGTCGAATGGATGTTCACATGTGCAAAGGAACGTCATCTTCTCGTGGATATAAGAAGCGTCCGAATTTCATAGCTTTATTAGAGGCATATTGTGTTAGGCTTTACGTACCAGTCTTATTTGTAAATATTTCCTCACTATGTATGCTTATACAATAAATGGATGTTTTTGCGATTCTGTACTACGTTTTGTAATTGAGGGGGGAGGGCAAAGCGAAGGATGCAAAACGAAGAAGAACGCGCCCCACAATCATTTTGTTGCGCGACTGACACATACCGGCCGGCGGGCGTAGACTACGCGGCTGAGTGAAATTAATTGTGGTCCCACCAGCCGGTCTTAATGCGGCCGCAGGCCGGTGCGAGTGTCTGCGTTCGCCTTTTCTCTGGTACATATGCTGCCATTACGTGGGCTACCGCCTAACCTTGAGATCACGACGGGAGTATATACTCACAAGGGAAGTTCGCCGAATCGAAATGGCCGATTGATATGTGGTATATACCCGGACGCGGGGCTCGGGAGGTTAGTATCAAATGTGCGCTCATTAGCTGCGACGCGTTATTGTGAAGCAAGTTATGGCCCTCTGAAGTTTTTGGCGTGTGCATGTCTAGAGAACGCACAATTGCTCAGGTTGTGGTCTTGTGGTGTAGTGGTTAGCGCCTCGGACTCACAGGTGACCGGTGAGGGTTCGAGTCCTGTTGCTGTCCACATGTTTTGCGTTCTTCTCAAAATTCATTTTTTACCTGTTTCATGTATTAATGAGGTAAAAAATGACACACACGGGTTACGGGATGATTTTTCTCACGAAAATTCGATCAATGCTTCATATGTAAAATTTTCCTAGAACATAGCAACGACTTTTTAGCGACGGCTTTTCAGTTGACTTTGAAGATTTGCCAAATCCTCACTCACACATACTATCTTCGATTGCACGTAGTATTTAAGTGACAATCTCCAAATTGTATCACGTCGTATTATTGATTCTTGCTAATGGGCTACCTTGTGAGAATGACACGGCAGGATGTATAATTAGTAGTGTTTAAACACCCGTATGTGTCATTTTTTACCTCAGTATTGCATAAAACAGGTAAAAAATGAATTTTGAGAAGAACGCAAAACATGTGGACAGCAACAGGGTTCGAACCCTCACCGGTCACCTGTGAGTCCGAGACGCTGACCACTACACCACACGACCACAATCTGAGCATTTGTGCGTTCTCTAGACATGCACACGCCAAAAACTTCAGAGGGCCATAACTTGCTTCACAATAACGCGTCGCAGCTAATGGGCGCACATTTGATGCTAACCTCCCGAGCCCCGCGTCCGGGTATATACCACATATCAATCGGCCATTTCGATTCGGCGAACTTCCCTTGTCAGTATCAAGATTTGCTTTTTTGTTGGTTTATTGTTACTGTATATTCAAACCTTTTTCTGGAGAAAGCGCTCAAGCAAAACGGCACATAGATCTTGTTTGAAACTGACAGCGGGACCATAATTAAGGCACTGTCAAAGCGGCATGATTTGTGAATTTTGTCGAATTCGCTAGTCGCTAACATAAACTATGGTGGGTTTATAATGATTCCGGAACAGTTGTAGCACAGCGCACAGATTGAGCGTCGCGCTGGAATTGAGTACAAAATATGAACCCAGCCTATTGTAGCTGACGCAAGCTTAAGGAGGTATATGTAGATTGATCTTGCTAATTTAGATCCTATACTGGAACAGAAAAAGATTTGATGAAGGCGTGACTCACCGTGTGTATCACGAGGTCTGGAAAGTGTTATATTGAAGCCAGTTATGTCTAACAATGTGGAAGACAGAGAAATAACAAAAACAGTATTATTCAATCGTATTACACAGTTGTATTGATAGTGTACACGTACTATGCAGGAAATACAAACGAGACTGGACTTCAAAATGCAAAGCTGAGTTCAGCCTACTTCTCACAGATCACAAAAATTATGTACAGCAATACAAAAAGATTAACAATGATCACTTATATGATGTCAAGAGGGAAAGCATGTGTTCCAAACACACTAGCATGGAGAAAACCAAAACTTCCTTCACAACCTCTCGAATCTCTTATTGCAAAGTTATCGGAGAAGAAAAAATTGAATATTGCCTTCGAATGGTAAATTTACGATTTAGACCCTAGGCAGTTTTGCGAAAGAAGTTGGGAAAGGAAGAGTTATAGCAGAGGAAAAAGACAACAATAGACAATAGCCGTAGTAAACATATGGTAGAAAATTCTAAGCTACCAATCACATCACTACTTAGTGTGTTGATATGTATCCGTTTCTTCCGTATTATCGCTACTCAATGGTCCTGATTCTTCAGCCTGAAATTGAACAAAATCAAATTGCGAGTCTTGCGATCATCTCGATTTTATGTCTACAGAAGTCCCCCAACGTGTCAGAAAGGAATGGCCCATTCATTTCTGAAATGGTGGGATGACGCTAAAGGAAGAAGGGATCTGACATGACGTTGAGGGTCAGAAACAAGAAGGGAAAAACAGAAGATATTTCACGAACTCAGGGCAGTTATTAACAAAGTACCGCAGGAGAGAAATGAGCACTTCGAAAAAAAGAACTTTGTGGGAAAAAAACTTTGAGCTTTGAAAGGGTTGTATGAGACAAAGAGAGAAAATGGTGGGTTGATTACATATGGAAGAATGCGCAAAAGGGGATATGACCGCAAAATCAACTTGGATTGACTTTGACATGGGAAAGGGATTACGTGGCTTGCATATGTGGAAGCTGAATAAATTAGGTTGGTCCATATCTTGTGCCGAAAATATTCAAAAATCGTTTTGAAAATGATTGAAAAATGGTCCAATTCTACAAAATTTTGTAGTGTAGAATAAATATTCCATTACTATTGTTATGCATGGTAAAAATTTTATAACTAACAAAATCGAAATGTCAACTTAAAAAAACGGAGAATCTAGTAATTTATACACACCTGATCAGCATGAATTCTCAATTAATTGAAAAGAGTATCATAGGTACAAACAAGTACAATCAAGTTTCGTTGTTTCTTATCAGCGGCGAAAACTTCAAAAAATTCATTTATCAGTTTGTAATTCCGTTATGTGGAATGTATCAAAAAGTGAGAATTTTGTCTTTTCAAGCTTTTGTAATTGAAAAAATTCACCAAAGAGAAATTTGATACAAGATTTATGGACCAACTGACAGACAAACGTCAGTATGCATATTCAATTTGAAGGCACTGTTTCTTGCATTAAAAGCTGAGAAGCCCACTAAACCCATATGGATAAGATACAGACGAATAAAAGCCCCCGGTTCAACAGTAAGTGAGAAGCAAGCAGCCCAATTCTTGTGCATGTCTTGTGCACGATACTGATTTCCCACTTGAATTCTGATTTCAAACAAGTTAGTCATAAAGATTTTGCATTTTATTTATTTTTTTTTAATAAGAAAAAGTTTCGCAATTTTTTTTCACAAAACCGGTTCGTCCAAACTAATCAACGGAATCAATCACCAAAAGCGAAAACGTTGTGCATCCCTTGCCTGCCTAAGCTCAAACATATTGTCCAATTCTGAGCAGTATCATAGATAATTTAAAGAAAAGTTTAGGATTCAAACAAGTTTCATATCTAGTATCTGTACTCGTTGGCTTCAACAAGGACTGGATTTGAACAAGGGTATGAAGATACACAGAAAAATGTCAAAATGTGCCTTTTAGCGCGCTTTTTAGAATCTGTCAATGACAGAATTCATGTGGGCGCGTGAATCCAGTGAGGTGTATGTCCTAACGCGCGGAATTCGACAGTCGTTATAGCTGAACTGGGGTTCATCCGGAATTTGGTACCCGTCATAGCTGGACTGGGGTCTACCCACCTTAAAAAAAGAAAAAAATAGAGACACTAAAACTCCTGTCGAAATGTAGGAAGACATATCGAGAGCCCGGATTTACGAAAAAACCTAAAACTTCCCTGAGAAACTCAAATCTGCCTCCCACTTGTAAGATATCAGAGTTTATCCGACGGGCACATGGAATGCGACAGTACGCACGAAAAGCAAGCAATATAAAATCCCGGGCGAGTGCGGAAGGCGACAATCCTCAAATTTTGTGCCTTCAAAACTCCTCGGTGCTAAAATGACACGGTGCCAAGGTAGGGGGTGGGAGTGGGGGCAGATTCATGATTCGATGTCACAAGTAAAATTCCGTAAAAATTAGCAAGAATGATTTCACACCGCTTGCATTTTGCGCGCATTGTCCTTCCGCGAGCACCCCCCCCCCCCCTCCTAAGGCCCTGGGCATACCTCTAGCGATTTCAGTCGCCACGCGATTTCGCCATTTGCCGAATCTTTTCAATCCCAACACTTGCAGACCACAAATGCGTGGTATCTGCAACTTCCGCGAATCGATAAAATGTGCTATTTTCCATGTGCTCAAATTGAGTTTGCGACGAGTTACAAGCAGCTGGAGTGCTGCCAAGTCGCGTCGCGACTGAAATCGCGTGAGGTACGCCCGGGCCTAAAATCCCTTTTGCCAACTGCCGTAAGTGCACCCACGGCCAAACCTATGACAGTTTGCAGAACACTCGAGCCTCAGTTTTTTCTTCTATGTTTCTCTACTTTCCTTGTCCTTTTCAATAATTTGCAACAGTGAAACCTATTTCTTTACTTCAACAAACGAGTTGTTACTTACTAAATGTGGATCCAAGTTAGTTGCTACTAAATTCCGTTCCAAGCTAACTGTTGAGTCTGTAGAATCATCTACTCCGTGCCACATCAGCCGAAAGTGACCTTTTATGCAAGCCATAATGAATATTGGCAGGAGAGTGCACGGAACCAAGTAGATCAGAGCAGGCTGAGCCATACTCATGAGTGAAAGTGCGATGAATGTTACAATCAAACCTAATCCGTATCCTGAAGACAAAAAAAAACAGGTTTAGAAAAAGCAAAAAGAATCTCATATATACAACCTACCGAAGGAGCAGATAACTCCATATATGATACGCGAGCGCTCACTAAATCCACTCATAGTGAAACAATGAGTCACCAAGTAACCTGGAAGCAATTTTTGCATAGACCATGTATGAACTGTAAACTCTAGTATAGATGAACCTGGTATAATTATATCTCCTAGTCCAAGAATCGTCATCTGGTAGTTCTTCTCAATCTCTAGATCAACACATGCTATCATAGGTTCGAAACGAGGCACTTGCATCAGCATTGGAAACTGAAAAGATATATTATATAGTGACGAAAAACCAGCACCTACTCTGGCTTACCTTCTCCGGTAGCGCCGCATCGATGGGAGGCATTGGATATCCATCATTGCCGTCCGATGAGCAGCCTATACCCGTAGCCACCTCAAGCATCACAGAACACCCACTTTTGGTTAGATAAGGAGTAACAAACACCATTACTGCATCGTAAATGAACATGCAGATCATCAGCACCGTAATCCACTGAACCAACTGATCATAGAATCAGAATGAACAAACACTCCAGATCGGTGGCGTACCGAAGGGACGAGAGACCCCTCCCCCCCCCCCCCCCCAAAACGGGTCGCGAAATTTTTTGAAAGATACATGAGTTACTAGCTGGCTTACCCGGCTCCGCCCGGCCCTGTCAAAATATTTTAATAACGTTCCATTTCCTTCCCTGTACAACTTTTCCGTGTGCCCACTCATACATGCAATTCCCTATTCCCCCTGTGTGTAATCAGCATGCTCACTTGCCCCCTGCGCAACTCCCAGCCCATTCAAACTTTGCAAAAAAATCGATAAAATCGATAAAAGTGCTGGACCTCCAAAAACTAATATTGTATTCGTAATCAGCATGCTCGATTACCCCCCCCCCCTGTGCCAACTCCCAGTCCCATAGCTCAAACTTTGCAAAAAAAAATCGATAAAAGTAGCGGATAATTCCAAAAACTAATATCGTATTCCTAATCAGCATGCTCGATTACCCCCCTGCGCCAAATCTTAGCCCCGTAGGTGACTCTGCAAAAAAACTCGATAAAATCGATATCGACCGATGACGAAAAGTAGCCTATGACACCCGCCCTGCCCCGAAGTGTATGTGTGCCAAGTTTGGTCCGGATCGGTTTTTAGAAATAAAAATTTCCATTCGGAACATACGTACAGACATACATACAAACAGACATTCAGCTTTATATATAAGATGAAACTGTGCAAATGACTAGTTCCCAGTTGTAAATAATTAAGATATTTTTTAATCTTTCTTGAAAATTCATTTCAGCCCTATAAAAAAATTTTTTCGAGGGAGTGGCTAATGCCACGTCCCCTTTTTCTAGAATTTCGGGGTTATGAGCCCCTGAAAATTTTTGAAAACATAACAAAAAATTTTTCGGGGTGCGTGGCTGGCGCCACGGACCTTCATTAGAAAAGAATTTTTGTTCCCCCCCCCCCCCCCGAGCCGAAATCCTGGGTACGCCACTGCCTCAGATGTAGGAGATAAGCGGCCACAAACACACCATCACATTCGGCAACCGCAGAGACTTCAATATATGCAAACAGAGCGTCACATTTATGAAGTCCAAAAGTATGAATGCGTAAGCGTCCAGCCGATAATAGAACCATACTACGCCAAAGGCCAATGAACACAAGTAAACTGCTAACTGTAGTATGTTTGGTCTTCCTTTGGGGAGCCAGCCTAGTAAAATAATCGTTCGAAAATATCCATCAAAAAGTAGAAACTACGCTGGTAAAGAACTTACGGTGCTTTACTCCGGTGCATAACCGCGTGGTACAGCAATCACAGCAAGAAAAATTTGATAAAATGGCCATTACGCAACTATACACACTGACTGAACCAAAGAGAACCAGCATAACATTGAAAAACGCCACTGAAATAGAGTCTTTATAATAAACTAAACAAAAAATCTTGATTACTACTTACCGAGTATTTTTCGATAGAAGAAACCAATCATGAGGATGCCAACGAGTATAGCCATGAGTACAGCTATGGCCAAGAAACTAGAGAAGTATGCTAGGCGCTTCTTGACATCACTTCCTGCGTCAGCGTCAGAGGGCTGTGATGAACTAGATGAAGACGGAAGGACTGTTAACTTGTCCTTGCCGGCTCTGAAATACTCTCTTCCTTTGACAAAGCAAACAAAAGCTTAAATGCATAGAAGGAAGGCGATTATACGAGATATGTTATGTTATATTATGTTTAGGTGAGCATTAGTTTAATCCTGCATTCACTTTCGAGTTCTTGGTTCACTGACGCATTGGGCGTTTTCCTAGGTCTTGAGGCGGTTTTTGATAGGATAGTTCACTTATGCATTCGATGATTTCAGACTCTGAAGAAGGCGATACCGCCGAAACGTTAGTCGAATAAAGGATATACCAATCCCGGTGTCCAGCTAAACAAGCCACAACAAGCATTTGCAATATGCCGAGATTAATCGAGAGTCGAACTTGGACGATTATACGAGATTAATGATTTTTGAGTAACAACAGTGATGCAAAACCGATATGCTGCCGAGCTCAGCTGAACCAGACCACCACAATAGAGTTTCGCGCAGACAAAGACCGCGACCTGATCGGGCTTGAACAAATTGAAAGAAAAGTTGCAGATACCGCAAAAAGCTGTAACCGATGTTTTTTTTGCTGGCATCAAACCCGAATGGAAACCCAACATTATAACTGTCGATTTTATCAAAAAACTAGCTGGCTTACCCGGCTCCGCCGTATCCGGACCAAACTTGGCACACATACACTTCGGGCCCCGGCGGGTGTCACAGTCCACTTTTCGTTATCGATCGATGTCGATTTTACCGATTTTTATCGATTTTTTTGCAGAGTTCACCTATAGGGCTAGGAGTTGGCACAGGGGGGAAGTGAGCATGGGGATCCCGAATACAATATTAGTTTTCAGAATTATCGATTACTTTTATAGGTTTTATCGATTTTTTGTAAATTTTGACCTGCGAGGCTGGGATTTTGCACAGGGGGTAATCGAGTATGCTGATTACGAACACAATATTAGTTTTCAGGATCGTCCATTACTTTTATCGATTTTATCAATTTTTTTGTAAAGTTTGACCTGCGGGGCTGGGAGTTTGCACAAGGGGTAATCGAGCAGGCAGATTACGAATACAATATTAGTTTTCAAGATCGTCCATTACTTTTATCGATTTTATCGATTTTTTGAAAATTTGAGCTAGGGGGCTGGAATTTGGCACAGGGGTGTAATCGAGCATGCTGATCACCCCCCTTGGGGATGATCAGCATGCTCGATTACCCCCCTGTGCCAACTCCCAGCCTCCTAGCTCAAACTTTGCAAAAAAATCGATAAAATCGATAAAAGTAATGGACGATCTTGAAAACTAATATTGTATTCGGAATCCCCATGCTCGATTACCCCCCTATGCGAACTCCCAGCCCCGTAGCTCAAACTTTGCAAAAAAATCGATAAAATCGATAAAAGTAATCGATAATCCTGAAAACCAATATTGTATTCGGAATCCCCATGCTCGATTACCCCCCTGTGCAAACTCCCAGCCCCGTAGGTGAACTCAGCAAAAAAATCGATAAAAATCGATAAAATCGATATCGATCGATGACGAAAAGTAGCCTATGACACCCGCCGGGGCCCGTAGTGTATGTGTGCCAAGTTTGGTCCGGATCGGTTCAGAAATGGAATTTTCTATTCGGAACATACGTACAGACATACAGACAGACAGACAGACAGACAGACATACATACAAACAGACATTCAGCTTTATATATAAGATGAACACTAGACTACTTATCACAGTACAACATATTGCTAACTTTCCAAATTTTCTAAAAAAAGATACCTGTGACGAAAGAAAGCCCATACGCCTCCACCAGTTACACAACCAACTGCAAGAAGCCACATGATGATCATCGAAAAGTCGATAGGAAAGGGAGGTGGCCTATGAAATCGCAGTCGCAGAGGAGAGGTGTCGTTACCATGTATCAGACCCTAAGCATTCGCAAATTACATAAATAAGGAGATTGTGCAGTCGGAAAAATGAGGCCAGCAAATTGACTGACCAAGATTTTTTCTTGAAAAACATGCTGATATAGGAAAAACGTTGGGATAGCCTCCGTTGTATTCACATAAGGATCGTAAAAATCAGAGAACTAAATGATGAGAAATGCTTTCAATGCTATACTGCAGTCGTTGCGACTTACGAGATAATCGTGCCATTTCGAGATGAACTTCTTTCCCTTCTCCAGAAGTAAGATAGCACTGTCAGCGCCATAATATTTCAGCTGCTTCACCTAAATCGAGTCTCGTCACCGAACAGTGTCATATCTGACAGTCATTCAAATCCGCTTTCAGATAGCATTTTCCTCCTGTCACCCTTTTCTTTTTGTAATCACCAGAAATACTCACAAAGCATATTAATCTTCGAAACTCACTTGAAATTGAGTCGCATTCTTGAAAGAAGAGCCTCCTTCGATGAACTGACGAGTACACATCGTACCATCGTCATAGATACGATATTGTAGAGGTACTGCCGACCCATTATATTGGATAAATCGTTCCGAATGAGATGGAAGGGGGCATATTTTGGTTTCGTTGAAGACACCCCGCCAGAACGATAAGCCTATAGGATCCTGAAATAGACAGATCAAGGACGAGAACGACTATGGAATTTTGTAGTAATCACATGAAAAAAAAACTTCAAACAACGGCAATAAAAATCGTAATCTATATTTAGTACGCTAAGAAGGAGCACAAACATGATCGTCTATAAAATTTTATATATTTAAGTAAAAGCGACCTTACTTTAGCCAATGCATGCTAACATCAATGCTAAAATGCCGAAAATGAATCGTGAGTGCTTGCCTTTTTCAAATCGACTCGATTCAAATGCAACGCTATATTACGCCTTTTTGCGTTTATGTTCCTGGCAGGTTTTTTTACAGACCTTTTGTTGCACTGGAACATTGTGGATACACACAAATGGAGAGAACTCGATAACTATTGCAGTACAGATGCAATGTATGATGCAAAAAGGATGTACAGGAAAAATAAAATACTGATCTTCTATTGCACACTGAGCTACTTTGACAGCTCTTTTACTGCTCATACTAGCACAAATTGGATCAAATGATTATCGAAAAATTATTATGTGTAAATTTTTGCACTTAATTTGCAAGGCAACGAATAATCTACATGCACCGTTTCTGTGGATAATCTATAAATTAAATCTGAGTTAATGCCGATATCAAAAAAGCAATGAGATTACATTTGAGCATTCATGAAATGCAATAAAACCTGCGACATGCATCACAGACAGAAACATATTAGGTCACTTACTATAACGCGTATGTCGTTGAAGCGACACAAAGACATCCTTACTTAAAATCCTAACCTGCCATTTTAAAAAGTAGAAAAGGGAGTATTAGTCATAGATTGCTACTGTACTGTACGGGATTAGGAAATTCCACGTAGACAATGGATGTGTGCAGCAAAGGAAAAGAAGAAAAAGCCATATGTCAAAAGATCAGGTGTTAACAATAATTTTTTTAGCATTCACAATGGACAAAAAATGAATCCGAAAATCTTGAAGAAATTCAGCCTATCAATATCAAGCCTTTGAATAACTGCTCTAACGCCATTTCAGAAAAAGGATTTTTTTATCAAAATTAGTTTCAACATGTTAAACAGATAGGAACTAGGTTTGACTAAAGAACTTACTGCGCTTTCTGCATCCACTGGTAACCGTCTAATTCTGTATTGGAGGTAGTTAGCACAAACTTGGACTTTCTCTCCAGTTTTTGTATTTTCTGCGGTTAGATATACATAGCTCGTGTCATAACCTTGGTATTTTCGTGCCTGAACAATTTTAAGAATTTCGAATATACACATCAGTATTACTTTTACTTCAAACAAAAAAGCCGACCTCAATAAATAAGCTGAGATCGAGTAGAAAAGTGAGTAGAAAGCAGACTGTTAAGCGGCCCATTCCAGGTGTTTAGCGAGGAAGGCGGAAACGGGCGCTACGGCCAAGCTAACTCGCTGAGAAGGGAAGGCCGACTTGCCCAACGCTCAAAGTCCTCCCTAGAAAGAAGATTAATAATGAACGCAAACTAAACAACAATTCAATTCGGCAGAGAGTTATGTTCGATTTCGCATGACAAATAATTGCTGAAAAGCACATGTAACATTGATCGATTTATGGCTAGCGTGGAAATGAGGGATTAAGATAAGGAAAATCTATATAGCAAAACACTGAGATCTAGTTTAAGCCCTAACCCCTCTCATTTTTTGCTAGTACCAACGAAAAGGAAAAATACCGCAAGATGAATTCATTTGCCGTTGCAGTGCATAAATCGAAGGACTTCTCTAATCAGTGAGAGTTCCTCAATCGTAGCAAAATGTATCTTTCAAAGACGTAATCAATAATGTATGCTTGGGCCAAAAGGGATAGCTTGGGCTTATCAAGATACTCTAGACAGTAGAAGAAAAATAAATGATATGCGGAGTCGGCACTGTTGATGTGGCTCTGTCAATGGTGACGCACGCATACGTCAAGAATAACTACTGTTCAGAATTCGCCAAATTAAGAACTATTCTTCCACAAACCGGTAATTTTCAAATTCTTAAAATTTTGTTTCTTGAGGTATGAAAGCTAGTGATAATATTTGCAGTGTTTTTATCGATTTTTAAACTTGATTCTCCTGTAGCTCTTTGCTTGAAAAATGTGCAAGTGACTTTTTCATACTTGTAAACAATTGGTGTAATTTTAGAAAGTTTCTTCAAACTAGCCCTGCAAAAAAAATTTTTTTGGGGGGCGTCGATGCCACGGTAGTGGAATGATGATGATAATAAATTTATTTGTGCCAGTCATAACATATCCTTTTTAATGCAAGACTAATGGACTGTAATGTTTTTGCTCAATGAAATCATAACTTCTATGACATAGTAGGCAAAAGTAAGTCGTAAGTTCATCTGGTATAACAGCTGTCATATGCATATGACATTAATACGAAGAAATGAAGCTCCAACTGATTTAAGATAACACATGCATTATTATATCAATTTAATCAAGCAAACAAAAACATGCTTTCATATGACAGATTTCAAAATCATAAAGTCAATTTTTTCTTAATTTTGTTTTGCTGTTAACGCACAACACATTAATAAATGTGGTTAAATCGGAAATTGGTATTTGGAATGCTAGCAGTGCCATCAAATCAGAATGACGGAACTCCATTCGCGATTCCTATGCAACCCGCATCTTTCACAGTTGAATAAACCAATCCACTTACAACCGGAACGATGCCATAAGGTAATTCCAACGTACTTGGTTTCATAAAAGACACTCACTAGGCGAGATGCACTGAAGAGATAATCAGAAAAGCGAGGAGAGCTTTAGAGGTCGGCGAATGCAGGTCACTATTTTACAGTTTCGACCAGAGCTGGTAAACAGATGTCTGGAACTGCGTGTCTGACCTGCATTCGCTAATTCTAAGGCGCTCTCCCTCTTTTTTCTTCGCCTTTGCAGCGCGGAATTGATGGTCTATTGACCTCAACTAGCATGGTTTCCTGCAGCTTTCGGATTGGAAAATAAGTAAGATGATGGTATTTTGAAGGAATTCTGGACGTATAGTGTACCCCCAATTTGCCGCCGATATGACGGATTCGAACATAAACCTTCTGTCCGAATCCGTCATATCTACGGTTAGAATGCATTAGAAAATTAGGCGCGCGGTAAAGTCTACTAACAGGAAAAAACAGCCACCAAACGGAGGTGAAGATGCGAATGCGGCGTGACAGCAGCTCTAACGTTGTGATTCTACGCCTCATGCGTCCGCTAGGTATTCAATCGCGTCTGACCGACACTAAATTCTAACAGGCATCTGGACTATGAAGACACTTACAGCACAGTAATTATACTTCCTGTGATATAAGAATCTCAAATGATGGCCGTCATTTTTTGCCAGGAGGTACACATACAGCAAAGGAAATGCCCCTTTCACGCCACAAGCTCAGCAAAGCAACTGCGGCGTGTGCCTTAGCGTCAGTTAGTTGCTGTCTCCCCTCTGATAACAACTTCAATTCTAAACCAGATCGCCTTGGTGCAAAATATGTTATGATGCCTAAGTTATGAGGCATAACCGCGTTAAATCGAATACATCTAGCCACCGACGCAGACAATACGTATACAGTCAATGCAGCCGCGTCAATGGAGATGTGCGCGTAATTTCAGCCCACATTGTGCCTTCTCAAGCGAAGGCGCCGCGACCGCGTATGATAGATATTACAGTCCGCCTCCACCATGATGTTCCGTTCCAACGGCACATCCTCTTCGTGCTGCATTCGTCAGCCATTGAGTTCAATCGTCAGTTCAAATCGTGGCAAGGTGATCAAGCCAGAAACCTAGCGCTGCGGATGCGCAACAGCAAGCCTATGCAGCGCGAGGTCCTGAAGTGCTGGTCTTTTGTTTTTTAGAGGGCACACTATATGGGATATGATGTATTTTCATGCATGACTCAACCAACATATTCTCTTGCGGTGTTTATGGCGCATTTTAAGAAAAATGATGTTGCACAGATGGAACATTGGGTTTATTATGTACCAAACGTGTCCAATGATGCAGTTCTCGCAAGAGTGGCGAAAGGTGCAGAAAGATCAAGGTTGTGAATAAATTGTATAAGGCAGTTACCATTCGCAAACCATTAATCAGCAGTCCGTTATGTATCGTTTCAAAGCGTCGGCTCAACATAAAAAAGCAGCGTCTGTGTGACTGAATGTGCTTTGTAGGCACAATGACGTGACTGCAATGAATAAAGTGCAATAGTGCGCTACTATCTATGCGAACAGCGTACCACAATTATTCAAGCACTGCATTTTTGCAAAAGTGCAAAAAGCTGACTATGAGGCGTACAAAAGATTAGAACATATTGAGATTGCGTCAAAAATAATCTAAAAGTGTAAATGTCTAATTTCTTGAAAAAAGAGACATAAAAATGAATAAAAAATGAGGGAAACGAGGTAAAGACCGAGAGTGCGGTCACGGGTAAAAAAAACGGCGCTATTCCACATAAGTTGACCCAAAAAATGAAAATCGTGAATTTCACTAAAACTTCGTCTATGGAGGTTATTTGCTACGCTGAACACGAATATGATGTTTATTCCGTGCGACAGCGCCATCCGGTGGAGTTACGGTAGGATTACGGTAGGGGGTCGAAATCACGGATTTGCCCGAAACTTGGCCCAGAGGGGTTATTCGGCCCGCTGACGCCGAATATCACATTGGTTTCGTACTGTAGCGTCATTCTATCGAGTTACGGTGGGTACACGGTAGGGGGTCAAAATCTCAAAATCTACTGTAACTTTGCACAGAGGGGTTATTCGACATGCTGATTAGAAATGACACACTTTCTCCGCACGAAAACGTCTACCTGCATGGTTACAGTAGGTTTACGGTAGGCGTCAAAATCACAAATCGGCAAATATATCTTTCCCCTGTGCTTTGCTTAGGCAAAAGCCGCAGCGGGGTGTGTAGCGCGCGGCGATGGTCATGTGTGCAAAGCTTCACGATCGTTCGAATCGCCGTACACCCGTTTCAGGCAGAACTATGTTTCACACCCGTTACCGTGTAGCCTACCGTAACCCGAGAAAATGAGGCTATGGTTCAAAACCAATGTGACATTTGGCATCAGCGGACCGAATAACCCCTCTGGACCAAATTTCGGGCAAATCCGTGATTTTGACCCCCTACCGTAGTCCTACCGTAACTCCACCGGATGGCGCTGTCGCACGAAATAAACATCATATTCGTGTTCAGCACACCGAATAACCCCCCTAGACGAAGTTTTAGCGAAATTCACGATTTTCATTTTTTGGATCAACTTATATGGCATGAAAATAATGAAGTAGGAGGAGTATAAGCTATACTCGAGTCATTTGTAAGTCAGTTTGCACACCATGCGCGGCATCCGACGACATACACACAAGTAACCCCCCCCCCCCCCACTAGAACTTCTTCTGGTGTACAGATTGTATTTTAGAAATGTGTGCTACCAAATTCATCAAGTAAAAAAACAAAGAAACAAGGAGGAATCACTGAAAGTGAGCAGGTTCCAGCCTTACAGGTCGTCAAGTAGGACGCATTTTTGTGCAATACGCATTTTGAGTTACAAGTGATTGGGGATATGTTAATGCTAGTAGTGTACAGTCGATTCATTTCATATGATCATGTGTGTCACTGCACACACTGTCCACCTTTGGCGTTCTCATCCAGGATTTTTGGAAGACACAACCCTTCAGTTGAGTGTTTTTGATATGTTTCCAATGTTTTCCTTCCTTCTTAGATAGTAGTCACCTCAAAGTGACGTAAGAGATAAGAAATGTCCAAAATTTTGCGTGTTTGTGCAATTCCAGAATGGAGACGCCAAAATTGGACGGTGTGTGCAGTGACACACATGATCATATGAAATGATCGACTGTATGCATAAATATGATTAGGAGATACAAGAGGACGCTGTTGCATAGGTTCTTCAACAAGCTCACACGTGTTTTCTCGCGAATGCTAGGTAGTAAAATCTCCCAAAACGAGTCAGAACAAGTATGAAATGTTAAGCAGACATACGCAGAATGTTCTCGATAATCACATTCTGAGAAGGATGATAACTATGAACACCATATTATTATGATAAAGTAAATCAGCGTCTGAAATGTTCTCAAACATTTTGTTTCCTTTATATCTCAAGTGGCTTACTAATAACAGCGCATGTCATTCTTCTTTCTGTTTATGTCCGGCACCGGAAGTATTACATAAATACTGACAGAACGAGCAATGACGTCGCATGTGTCACCAGTTTGTCCAAAAAGGCGCCGTTTTCCAGAATAACGTCTGTTTTCGACAATATCTATTTCGATTCGAAGTAGGGAAATGGTCTGCTACATCCGACGAGATGAAACAAGATATGTCAGCCACAAGCGCTAATCGAAAATTATCGCAAAAACACACCTCGACAGATCTTTAGCACCTTCGAACTCTATAGCTTGTACTCGTAATTTAACGAATTAGCATCCCGATCCAGCAATTTAGAGTGCATTG